GGCAACCCCAAGGTCCGTGCCCATGGCAGGAAAGTGCTCACCTCCTTCGGGGAAGCTGTCAAGAACCTGGACAACGTCAAGGCGACCTACTCCAAGCTGTCTGAGCTGCACTGTGAGAAGCTGCACGTGGACCCCGAGAACTTCAGGGTGAGCCATGTTTGCAGTCCCAGCCCCTTCCCTATGTCATCAGATTTTGGGGAAAGTCAGATTTTGCTTTGAAACTGTGGGCGTTGCCTCCAACAACGCTGTCTACGAGTACTGTCTTTGGCTGGTGGAGGCAGAGTCCCTGTGTCGTACCCAGGCAAGATGATAGCTTGTGCAGGACTGCTTGCAAGCGTGTGGGTGACTTTCACACTAAAAAGTCCCATTTTTAGTACCAGCACAGCAAGGAGGAGGAGAAGGTATCGGGAGTTTGTTGCCTGGAGGAGATCTGGTTGGGGAAAAAAGGAAGAAACGCAGGGGAAGGTGCAGCATGGGCTGGCGGGGTCAGAGGCAGAGGGGAGCTACGCAGAGCGTTGAGGGGAATCCTACAGCAAGATGAGCAGCTAGTGCGCTTGAAAACCACAGGGCAGGTTTCTGCCTTGTCCAACATGGGCTGCCTGTCTGGATGGGACACTCCCTCGTCCTCCAACACTTTTAAATAAAAATGGATCATTTTCTTCATTTACATCTAAAGAGAAGAAGAAGAAAAAAAAAAAAAAAAAAAGAGCATTTTTCAGGGTAGGTCTCAGGCCAAATTGCTTTAGCATCCCCAAAATAGGGAGAAGTAGTTTCAAGGTTCTTTCTTGCATCTTTTTTTAAAGAATGAAGCAGATATTGTTTCCCCCAACCCCAGAGCTTTTTTTTGGAAAGAGGACCCTGTTGTAGCCGTCCCAGGGAAGGGGGGGTGAGCCAGTCCCCTGCAGCCCGAGGGCCGCTCTGATGGGGCAGTGGGCTGCAGAGGAAGAGAAGGAGTGTGCAGCGGGTGCGAGTCCTTTCAGGAGGGGAATCCGTCCACGGGGAGAAGTCAGGAGGAAGGAAACACAGCCTGTGGGTTGCGGGGTGGTGTCTAGGGGGGACGGGGACCTGCCTGCTGCCGGAAAACCAGGGAGACAGAGCGCTTGCATAAATGAAGAAGGTGCTTAGACCTAAAGGGATGGCAGGCCATGGTGGGGTTGTGTGCAGGAAGAGTAGGGAGCCCTCCCTGAGAGGTTGTGGGTCCAACAGCTGAGCCCCAGCTCGGGGATGTCCTGTCCCTGCTCCGTGGTCTGGTGCCACACAGCAGTTCGAGCAGCACTGACCCTGTCCATGTTCCTCTTTTCTCCTCCAGCTCCTCGGAGACATCCTGATCATCGTCCTGGCGTCCCACTTCGCCAGGGATTTCACCCCTGCTTGCCAGTTTGCCTGGCAAAAGCTGGTCAGTGTGGTGGCTCATGCTCTGGCCCGCAAGTACCACTGAGCATCCCGGGACCGGCTGTGCGAGGAAGAGCCCCTGAGCAGAAGGAGATGCCCTGTGGGTACTGACAGGCTGTAACCACCAAATAAACGCCTCCCGGCACCACGTCTGCAGGGTCTGCCTGTCTCTGTGCTGGGGAACGATGGGGGGCAGGGGAGTTTGTGCTGTCAAACGCAATGTCGTCCACGCGTGGGTGTATTTCTTCTTTCTAAGGGTTGATGCAGAGTTTCCTTAACTCTGGAGTGCTCTCTCATGTGCGCTCCCTGCCAGTGCACGCACGGGGGTCTGTGAAGAGAAAACCCATGCAAAGGGCACTGACACCTGGGAGTGTTTCGGAGGAATAACGAGGGATTGCAAAGCATCCGCCCCTGTTCTCCCAGCTCTACATTAACGTGAGATAAGGTGAAGCCAGCACGATCCAGAGCACAGAGCTCCCAGACAAGCCGTTGCTGCAGCCGGGGAGCCGGCACCCGCCTTGCCCTGCTCTGGGGCTGGGGATGCACCATCGCCTCTGAGAGCATCTGATACAGCAGAAAACCTTGAACTCTGACTCTTGGGAGGTTCAGGAGATGTTCACTTCTACCAGCTGTATCAGCTGGCCTAGCAGGATTACTGCTTCCCCAGGGGGGATTTATCATGCTGATGCACACAGCAGAGCCGCATCCCCCGGTGCCCACAGTCCCAAAGACCCCTCTCTCCAGACTGAGGGCATTCAGTTCCCAATGCCACCCAGCAAACAAACCCCACCGTGCGAACCGATACCTGGGCTTTGCTGTGCCTGGGTCTCCTTCTGCCACCCGAGGGTCCTTCGTGGTGGGTGGAGGGAAGCTGTGAGTCGGGCTTGGTTATTCATTCACTGCCACAAGGATGGCAGGTTAGATTTTTGTTAGCTATTTTATTATACAAAATAGGAGAAAAACATAAAAATGATCGTGACTGTGCTTATCTTATTCTTAAATCTTGTCTTAAACCAAGACTGGGAATTCCTTGCACAAGGGGGATGACAGTCAGTGCTGTTCACAGCATCTGGCACAGCAGAGTCCTGGCCGTGATACGAGTTTCTGGAGTTACCACGGAGGACACAGTTGTTTTGGGTCACAGTCTTTCACCTCACTTGGGCTCAGCAGGCTTCTCCTCTGCACCAAATCTGCAGGTTTTTGTACAGAGAATAGCGCAGGTCCTGGAAATGCTGTTCAGCCAGCAGCAGAGCAGCCCACGCACTGACCCTGCTTCAAGTAGAGCATCAGGCTAGAGACCCCAGGAGCACCCTTCCCACCAGAATTATCCCGTGGTTCTGCACTCTGAGCTTGCAAGACACTTGCTTTTCTCACCTATGGCTTGTTTTGAAGGGGGGCATAAAGAAACAAGTTGAATGCGCCTTTATAAATCTACTTTGTTTGGATGTTGTAAAAGACAGGACTGAAGAGGGGTGGGAGGAGGACGTAGATGTTGCCCATCAAAGTGTGGAAGATGGGGGGTGCCTCTTTCCTAAATCTGTGCAGGATGGACTAACCAAGTGCTGGGATGTAGAAGACCATGCAGCCTTCAGACCCTTGCCTGTGGAGGCAATGCTGAGAGATGTCATAAGGACCACGACAGAGGACAACAGAATGAAGAGGAGATCTGAACCCATGGCGAAGAAAATGAGGTCTGGGTCACAGATGCTGTTGAACGCCACCTCTCTGGAGTGCAGCCCAGTTATGGAGACAAAGGGAATGGGACAAGGCACTCCCCAGCCACCAGACAGATGGAAGAAATCATAGAATCACAGAATGGTTTAGGTTGGAAGGGACCTTAGAGATCATCTAGTTCCAAGCTCCCTGCCATGGGCAGGGACACCTCCCACTAGACCAGGTTGTTCCACCTGGAGATGGAGGACCAGGGTATAATCTACTCCTCTGTGGGTGCATCAGCCCTGTTTTGGCTGCCCTTACGCCTGTTGGCATGGTCGTACAGCTCCTTGGGGTCAGAGAGGTATCAGCCTGTCAAGGGGCATGGCAGAAAGCACCACCGGCTCCAGGAAGATGAGGGAGCAGATAAGGAAGAGCTGAGACACGAGGGGGTACAGGCCAATCACCATGAGCAAGGAGCACAGCACCCCTGGTGTGGTGGAAAGACACAGCCCAAGGTCAGTGAGGGCCAGCATGGAGAGGACCCGATGCAGGGCTGGTAGAGGCTTTGTTCTGCTTTTCTAGCATACAGGATAACACCATTTCCAATGCTCGTAGTGACATGAACAGAACAAACTGAGGTGGAAAGCTGGGGTAAGATGCTTCACACTCGCGGAATGTGGTTGGCAGAAAGGCTGTGACCACGAGGCTGGTTCAGCGCTCACCCCCATGAGGTGCTCGTGATGTCCTCTCGCTTCTTAGGTATTGCAATCTACACAGCCAGGATTTGGTTCCAGTCTGGTATAGAAATGATAGAAAATCCCTGAATCCCTATGGATTGCATCATGCAGCCCTGAAATGATGGGAAACTCTCACGAGCAGGTTGATGGATTGCTCTCCTCTTTCATGGCAGCTTCTCTCAAACCTGAGACAGCACTGCAAACCTTTGATGAATGAGCACCCCGTGCTGCTTTGGAAAGAAAGGAAAGGAATTTCCACAACAGCAACACAGACTAATAACTGAATAGATTGCAGGATTACTTCTTGTGAAAATTGGTAGGAAATGGCATTAGGAAACAGTGTTAAACTATATAAATTAGAAAACAGTTGTGATCCATGATTGCAATACCTGCCCTTCCTCAGCCATCGGGAGATGTCACCTCTCCTCCTGCAGCCTGCCCTCCTGCACATCCACCATGAAAATGGAGCCCCCATGTTTATGAGTGGTGGGATGGAAAACAAAACTTCTCATTTATCTCCTAATACATATTGTCTGCAGTTTTTACAGGTGTTAAGAAAAATAACTAGTTGACTATCTGTGCTAGGATAAGTAATGGAGTCTGTGCAATGAAAAATGTGGTGGTGTGTTCCGTGCTTATGAAAGAGGCATTTGTGTTGTCTCTACAGTGCAACCACTGCTGTGGCATATTGCCTGGGAATGAAACCTCAAAAACTCCTGCTTAAAAATATAATGAATTAGTCAAACCCTAGAGCCTTTTAAGGAATTCTTACTTGAAGTTTAATGTCAGTCTAAGGAGCAGGTTAACCACAGGACCATCAGGTATAATCATTTTTATCTGTCCTGATCCCCACACTTACCGCAGTAACAGCAGTAAAAAAATAAAACCAACCCAAACCAGGTTCACCTGTTAGCATAAGCCAAAAATACTCCTTGACTGACTCTGTGCTGCCCCTGCTGGGGTTATATATAGTGTAAGGCACAATTTTATGCCTCTAGAGGGAATTCTCTGTCAGGAACGTCAGCATAATAGAGCGTTTCAGAAGACAGGTCTTACAGCTGGTGGGACTGGAATATAATCATAACAAAATTCAGCCATCCATGTGATATGTTTGTTGTGTTTTCCCACTCTGCTTGAAATGAGGATGAATGGTAATGTACTTGTTCTGATTTTGCAAAAGATGCTTTATTGCTTTTGAGAAGTAAATAAAGAGGATGTTTTCTTCAAGAATCAGAGTGGAAATAACCAAGCTGCCTAATGGCTCTGTGCATCTGCAGCAACCATTTCTGGTAGTTTTTCACACTGCGCTTGATGTTACAGGGATATTTGGACAGAAAATACAGGGGGATCCTTTTCAGCTTGCCTAGCCCGTAGGAGAGGGCTGTAATCTATAGGTCCACAAGCAATCCCATGGGTGAGCCTGGAGGGATGGGGACCGCTCTGCTGGCTGCTTTCAAAGAGCCACCTTGTGCAAGGACTGGCTGGGAACGGGACCACAACTTTGCTCCGGTGTCAGTAGCAAAACCTGATGTCATGGCAACTGTTGCAAAAACCTTGAGAAAAATCATTTGGATATTAAGAGATTTTTGATCCACGCCCCTTGGTAACTTCAGCGAAATGAAGGTTTGAAACCCCAGAATGACACATCATAGCTGATCTGCCTCATCTTTCCTTTTTCCCGCCCCCTCACCTCCTCCAACCTCTGTTTAGTGCCCTTCCAGCCCAAATTCTCTCCAATAAGAGAACCAGACACGCGCTCATTTTCCATTCCAAACCAGAAGTGGCAAGGATAATGTTTCTGAGATGATGATGAGTTTATTTTCATATCCAAAAGACTCATCTGGCCAGAACTGCAGGAGTCCTCACTGTCTGGCACAAGGTGAACTCAGAAACCAAATTATTCTTTTTTGTCGTTTTTGTGGGCAGCCTTTTATCATGTCTCTCCCTCAATCTTTCTTTGTCGCAGCTGAATGACTGCTGCTGTGCAGACAGGTCCCCATGCTCCACCCCGCAGAAATTAAGAATTCCTGCACTAGAGACCCACATATTCATTGTGCAGTAACAAATGCCATGGTAGAAAGTGTGATTTAGATAAATCCACACTGTCAAACTCCAGCAATTGACAGGCTGGAGAAGCACCATCTTTGTCCATACAGCAGAGACGTGAGAACGACAGGGAGGACACGCAGGTCCCCAGGAAGCGGAGCACCGTCTCACCAAAGGGCATAGTCCCTCCTGACCTAAGAGACCACAAGTGGCAGAGCCACCTCCTGGAGACTGCCCAGCTTCACTGCAGGGCTGCAGAGAGACGATTAAGCTTGACCAAAGCCTGCCATGGTTTGGTGCTCAGCCACGTGCCACTGTGGCCACAGCAGCCTTTTGGCAGTGGGTGGCTGTGGTGGTTCTCCAGGACAGACGTGGAGCAAATCAGCGAGACGCGCTCCAAAGCTGTCCCACTGCTTCTGCAGCAGTGCTCGGAGCTGCTCGGATGGAGACATTCTGCAAACATGCTCACCCTGTCCTACTTGGCACTCCTGACACTTTCTCCATGCCTGGTCATGTCTCAAACGATCAAACAAACAGCTTTGTTCCTGCTTTGCCTCCCTCTGCACCACATCTTCCAGGGAAAAACCTCTTCCCATGGAGGGCAGTT